TCCGCATACTCAAACTACAAATTTTTTTGCAGATTTACTCATAGCATATATACTCCTCCAAAACCCTGATCTAGTTCTGTAAACAATAAACTTGGTCAACGGACTTCAAATATAAGACCAGAAGCGCAACCAAAGCACTTCACATTATTCAATTGCTTACTACTAATGGAGTACAGACTCAGAAGTTAATTAAATCCGCAATGAACCAACACCGTCAAAATGATTTGGCCAGTAAATGGCAGTTCTGCAGTTTAATAATTTTATGCACAATACTGCCACAAATGAGTGTGAGTATGATACACAGTATTAAAACAGTTTAAACACTGAATTCCTGAAGGCAATGTGCTTAATAAGAACAACAGGCACATAACTTTTTGAGTATGGGATTGATTTTAGGTTTAAAGAACTGAGAAACCATGTGCTGCCAAGGAAAAACATCATGCAACTGCTGAAGATTTATACTAACTACATTTACTGAAATCAATAAAGCTAGTGACAAATAATCGAATGAAATTATTTAATCTTAAAGGGGAAGGTCTTTATGACACAATCAAAATTCATTTTCAGTTAGGTTTTGCTCTAGGGAGCAAACTTTCGGTACACCCATTGTACCTATACTTTTATTAAATGGGAAAAGTTTTTGGGATATAAAGAGGAATATAAAAAAATAAGAGTAAATACTCTTTTTGGGTTCTTAACAAAAAAATACAATTTCTATTTTAGTCTCTCATAAAAAAAAATTAATCTTGAAGTTCTTAAGAAATTCAAAATTGACTTATTAGTTGAAATCGTTGTCCCTCACAAATTTAAAAAAGACACATATTAGTCCCTGAAAAGAACTAAAATGAGTTTATTTTGAATTTTATAAGGACCAGATGACTAATTTTTTTTTATAAGGAACTAAAGTGAGAATCATATTTTTTTGTTAGGAACCCAAAATAGTATTTACTAAAAAAACAAAGGTTAAAATGAAAACAAAATTACCCGTTTTAATAAACGGATATACCGAATTTGGTGACAAGGGTTATTGCTTCTTTGGTAGCTCAACGTATGTACGGTTATGCATTTATAGCTCAAGACTTTAGTACTATCAGTCTGTATTATATAGTCATTATCAATACAATCAATACATCGCTGGTTTGTCGTGTATATGCCTAAACTATATAAAATAAAACTGTAATGGTCCTCTATCAAAGTGGACTAGTGTAAACTTGACAAATTGTGGTTCATATCAATCCTTTCTCCTTGTGCATGCTAGATTCGTGTTGTGAAGTACTTTACCTTTTCTCAAAATCAAATCTTTACTTTCTTTTTCTTATAATAGCATTGAAATGTTGGTAAGAGCTAGTTTTGAGAAAGAAAAATGGAATGATTCCATCGCTAGTAATTTCTTAAAAGTTTGTGATGAAGAGGTTTAAGCTAGTAATGGGTCTCACATATGCATGTACGACTATTGACGAGCGTAAATTTAGTAATGACAATATATATAGGGGAAGATGACATTAGATTAATAGAAAAAAAAAGATAATATCAGGAATGATACTTGTTAGTTTTTCAAAACTTAATAATACGATTGATATTATTTTCATGATTGTAATACATTATAATAACTTTAAGTTAAAATTAATTTTTATTGGGGATTTTTTATTGTTGTGTATCATTTTTTCTAGTCATAATCTCCGTATAAAAAATTTACATATAATCTTTAATACTTTTTTTTTTAAAGTCATAATATATGTGCTGGAAAAGGTATTTATGTGCTTGTGGTTCTCTGGCTCACCAGCACATCTACCCAAATCAACACTTGGCAAGCGTTTGGTATCTGCCTGCTCGAAGAAGGTTTCAATCAATGGGACAGTATGGCCAAGGTGAGCCACAAAAGGTATTTATGTGCTGGTGGTTCCCTGGCTTCCACGAAATTAATGTAATGAGAAAAATTCTTACATGGAAGTGCGTGGACCAGTGTTTTCAAATCCCGTCCCAGTTCGGAGTCGACCCTTCTGGGTTATTGACCCCTTCTTTTAGAGGATTCGAGTTAGTAGTTAGACTCTACTTGCACGTTGATCTCTTTAACCCCTGACCTCCCGGTTGAATCTTTGACTCCCGGGTCAGAGGGGTCAAAGGGGTTAATGCATTTTTTTTTCAAAAAATTCAAGACAAAATGATGTCATTTAATTTGTGTAAAACAAAACAAAAACAAAAACTCGTTGATGCCTAGATTTAGAACTAGATCTGAAATCTGAATCGTTCTTCTTCTTCTCTTTCGATCTTCTTTCCCTGACTCAGACTCAATCTTTCTGTTCCTGTGATCTCCTCCATTGTGTTGGTTCTTCTTTCTCCACCTTTAATTTGTCGTGTTGTCGCCTTTCTTGTGCTATTATCTATTAGGTAAGAGATCTCCTTTCACATACTATTATAGGTGCGTGAGACGAACAAGAAGGACCTGAGTTTGATTATATAACTTTTCATTAATTCCATTGGAATATGTGTTTTATACTTTGATAGTTTAATTAGCTTATGAATATTGATTTGTAGATGTACTTAGTTGAATTATGTTAAGTATATTTTGAATATTTAATTATTGGTGATTTGATTTTTTTTGAATTTTTCATCGAAAATATATATTTATATATTTTTAAAGTATGAAAACGGGTCAGCGAAGTGACCCCGTAACCCATTGGTTGAACCCATGCACCCTGTGACCCCTGACCTTGGCCGGGTCGATAGCTGGGCCGGATTTTTAAACACTGGTGTGGACCTCAGGTGAAGGTTAGCGGATTTCATGATGCACCAAAAAAAAAAAACATTAGGGTTAGTAGTTACTGCTTACTACCCAACCATTTCGGGAATGAATTCTTTTATGTGAAAATTTGATTATGTGGTCATATTATTTGATCACAATTATTGATATAAGAAAGAAAAATATATGTAATTTTTAAATGAATGGCTGTAATCAAATAACATGAGAGGATCCACTCCCAACCACTTAAGCCCGTCCTGTGTAAGTAAAACTGATATCAACTAGAAGCTTGTATTAATTGATGCATTATCGTTTGCTTGGCCATAAAAATGAAAATTTTGATCTACAAAAGAAAATTTAAAAGAAATTAGTTAGAAAGTATATTAAAAAAAAATAAACAAAATAAAATATGAAGTTGTAATTAATTTTATTTAAATTGAAAAAAAAATGATTTTTTTTTGCAAAGTGATATTTGAAAATTTAATACTAAGATTAGGGAGTCAATGCTTAAAGAATTACTGAAATTTAATCTCATCCAACCCTTTATATATGTATATAAAAATAATTAACTTAAGTTAATTATGTAATTTATTTAAAAATAGTTAGAAATGATTAGCCTAAAAAAACAAATGAAATTAAATGATTATTTACAAATAAAAAGTTAAATTATGAAAAAATTATTTTAGCTTGATGAAAAAAAAATCCTATTTTAACATATCCTGTAAAGAGCTAGCTTTTGGGGTGGTGTATCCCAAGGTTCTTTACATATCCCTTGATGTAATGAAATACAAAGCTACATCATTCTTTAAAAAAAATTCTTGAAGGTGCGATTTTATTTGAAAAAATTAGTTTGATTAAAATTAAAAAATTTGAATCATCAATTTATCATAGTCTATAGAACCCGTAATGGACACAACATGATTAATAAATTATTATCCTCAGCTAACTTTTCTTGATTGAATATGTTGATTTTTAATTATTTTCTTAGTGCAAGATAGCCATGAGAATTTTGATTCATTAAACTGTCTTATTTAAAGTTATCTAAAGTAAAAGTCATGGATTTAACAAGGCTTCATGACTAGGCCATCCCTTTTTAATTAAAGTGAAATGATTTTAACATTTCTTACTTTTTGAATTAATGTACATTTTTTGATAAATTTAAATATAATTTGGTTATCATGCTGTCATAACTAAAACAACTATAAGTAAAAATCACCATGTTAACAAATTGTTACAACTAAATTAATCATTTAAAAAAAATTGATTTTAAAGTTTTTATGCCACAGTTAAAATGGTCATAAATAAAAGTCACAGATTTCGTAGTGACGCAACCAGTTAGGTGTTGGGGGTTTGGCCGTAGTTAAAATTCGAAAATTAATCACGTTTTTAACTAGATTAAATAACCTTTCATGTTTTAGTGTTTGACACCAGCTAAATTTTTCTTGACCTCAGCTGATTTGGAAGTTAATGAGCCGTCATAATTTAGCCATCTTTTTTTTATATTAAGAAAAAATAATTTAAATAATATACTTTTTTATATTTAATTTTTTTTGTAAAGTTGATTTTAAAACATGTTGATTTTCAACTATTTTGTTAGAGCAAGATAGTCATGAGAATTTCGGTCCATCAAACTCTCACATTTAAAGTTGTCTTAAGCAAAAGCCATGGGTTTAACAAGCCATTGGCCATCCAGAGGGAAGCTTAACAATTTGGATTGGATTTGTACGAGTATTAATTGTCTTGCATTCAACACAATTTTTTTTTTTTTAAAGAATATCGGCATATTTATTCTCGCAAAATAAAATTAATAAATCAAATGATTAAAAAAATATATATATTAATGTTCAAGCTTGAGCATCCCAATGCTCTAGTAGCCTTCTTTTCATAGCATTTCCCAATTATTATTATTTTTTAATATGCACCATTTACATAAATATTTAAATCAACAATTGAGCTGAGTAATTTTACATGAGTTATGTTAGGTTGCACGTTCTCTAAAAATTTCGTGATTTAAACGTGTGACATTTATAGTTTTCGTGACTATGTGTGCTAGCAAAGTTCCAATCGCTTCCGTTCGTCTCTGCAAAAGAAGAAAATGCACCTCATTTAGGCAAGCAAAAGGATGTGGTGAGCATTGCATGCGGACCACTAAAACTTTGGCATTACTCGCCATCAAATAATAATTCAATTTTCATTTTGAAATACTTAATTTATAAATACTGGCAGCCATTGGTTCACTCACTCAAACTAAATACAGCCTTCATTTTATCTCTTGCGTACTTCTTTCTTCATCAGCAATATATATTCGATCCCCATTTTCTGATAACATGGCTTCACTACCTCCCTCTCTATTGTTTACAGTGAGGAGGCGCCAACCGGAGCTGGTAGCTCCAGCTATACTCACTCCACATGAAGTTAAATTACTATCCGACATAGATGATCAACAAGGCCTCCGTTTCCTAGCTCCAGTCATACACATATATCGTTACGAACCATCAATGGGAGGGAAAGACCCAGTTGAAGTCATTAGAAAGGCACTATCACAAACACTTGTTTTCTACTACCCATATGCAGGTAGGCTTAGGGAAGGGCCTGGCCGCAAATTGATGGTGGATTGTACTGGAGAAGGTGTCTTGTTCGTTGAGGCTGATGCTGACGTAACACTTGATCAATTTGGTGACTCTCTTCAACCTCCATTCCCATGCTTCCACCAACTCTTTTATGATGTTCCAGCCTCTGAAGAAATCATTAACTATCCCCTTCTCGTCATACAGGTCTAATACACACACAATTGATAATTCACTTATCTTATCAACTTCTTCATTAATTCTAGAAAACGAAGCTATACAAAAATCACGTGAACCTTTTGAAGACCTAATTAAATTACACTACAAAAGATTAAATATGCAAACATATACTTTTTTTATATTTTCTTGACGTTGGATTTTTAATGACAGGTCACGCGCCTTAGGTGCGGTGGTTTCATCGTGGCCTCGCGCTTTAACCACACCATGAGCGATGCAACTGGTATAAAACAATTCATGAACTGCATGGGTGAAATGAAGGGATTGGTATTGGGGGAAGGGAAGGATAGAAAAGAATAGAGAAGAGGAATAAAGATTTGTGTGCCTTGGAGTTGGAATAAAGATTTCCAAAAAGCGCTGAGAAAAATAGGGTCACGGTCTGTGATGATGGACTTTGGTGTGCCATGTATTTTGCCCACATTATCCCAAAAGACTTGTGCAACTTTGGAGGCAGTATATCGGTCTGGAAGTGGAATAAAATGTGCTCCTTTGGTGAGACGATCCACGACCACGAGGATGACAGAGATTCCTTGGACTGGTGGCAGATGTGTGATGAAGTCCATTGTTAGCTCGGACCAAATTTCTGTAGGAGGTGCAATTGGCTGCAACAAGCCATAAGGTGAGTGATTAATGGGTTTCACTCTTTGGCATACTTCACAAAATTTCACAAATTCTTGTACATCTTTTCTGACTGTTTTCCATGTGTAAAATGTGCATAAACGAGACAATGTCCTCCTGACTCCTGCATGTCCACCTATGGGTGCTGAATGGAACTCTTTCAACAGACTTGGGATTAATGAAGAGTGTTCAGGCAGAAAGACACGACCACGGTGGAGTAGTAGTCCATTTTTAATATCCCAGTTTCCCTTTTTTTCTTTGGATGACTGTATTTCCCCCATTAATTTTGCTGCATAAGTGTCTGCTTGTAATTCCTTCTGTAATACTGGTAGATAGTGAGAACTGGGTGTGGATAATGATGTTAATCGTGCGACTGGGGTTTCACTAACCCCTTGAAGTTGCCTGGATAATCCATCAGCAGCAGCATTAGTGATGCCAGATTTATAAGTGATTGTGTACTGGTATCCTAGTAATTTCGCCAGAAATTGCTGCTGTTCTGGTGTTTGGATCACTTGAGACATCATATGGTGTAAACTCTTGTGATCAGTTCGTATGATAAAACTGGATCCCAAAAGATATTGCCTCCATTTGCTAACTGCCGCGGTAATTGCATACATTTCTCTGATGTATGTGGATTGGTTTTGCATACGTGGAGATAATTTTTTACTAAAATAAGCAACCGTACGGTCATCTTGTAGCAAAACTGCCCCAATACCTGAACCCGACGCATCTGTTTCAATTGTAAATGGTTTACTGAAATTTGGCAGCATTAAAATGGGCGCTTCAGTGAGACGCTTCTTTAGATCTAGAAAAGCCGTGTGAGCCTCGTGTGTCCAATTGAATTCACCTTTGGTAAGTAGGTCCGTAATTGGTGACGCAATTTTGGCATATCCTTTAATAAAACGTCTATAATATCCAGATAAACCCAAAAAAGCGCGTACCTGTGTAATAGTCTTAGGAGTTGGCCATTCTGAAACTGCCTTTATTTTTTCTGGGTCAGGTGCGACGCCTGCGCCGGAAACAATGTGTCCCAGAAAGTGTATAGAGTTAGTAGCAAAGGCGCATTTAGAAATTTTGGCATATAGGCAGTGTGAGCGTAATGTTTCCAGAACTGTAAGTAAATGTTGAACATGTTCTGTCAAATTAGGACTATAAACCAGAATATCATCAAAGAATATGACGACAAAACGCCGTAAGTATGGTGCAAATACTTCATTCATCGTAGCCTGGAAGGTGGAAGGTGCATTTGACAAACCGAATGGTAAAACCAAGAATTCAAAGTGTCCATGATGTGTACGAAATGTTGTTTTGTGGATGTCATCAGAGTGCATGCGAATTTGGTGGTATCCAGACCGCAAGTCCAGTTTAGAGAAAACCGTAGCTCCATGGAGTTCGTCTAGTAATTCGTCCACTGTGGGTATAGGAAATTGATCACGCACAGTGATGGCATTCAGAGCCCGATAGTCCACACAAAAACGCCAAGTGCCATCCTTCTTTTTGACTAATAAAACAGGAGAACTGAATGGCGATTGACTTGGTCGAATAATACCGGACTTAAGCATTTCCTGACATAGTTTTTCAATTTCATTCTTTTGGAAATGAGGGTAACGGTAAGGTCTAACTTGGACAGCTTTAGAATTGGGGAGTAGAGTAATATGATGATTATGGGAACGGTTGGGGGGTAATGTGGTGGGAATGGTGAAGACATCAGAGTAGTTGGCCAATAATTGTTGGACTTCATGCACTGTATGGGGGATGGGATCAGTGTGTGAAGGTGTAGTAATGGTGGAATTGTGGTCGGATTGGGTAAAACACAGCAGGCATGAAGTGTAGGCATTACTAGCAATAAGCTTGTTAAGTTTTGCCGGTGAAATCATCAGGGAAGTATCTGGCCATTGTCCTTGTAGTTGAATAGTAATGCCATGGTGTTCAAAACTCATTAGCAATTTTCCATAATCCGTAAGAATGGGTCCCAATGTGGCTAACCATTGAACTCCTAGAACTATATCAGCGCCTTGTAAGTCCAACACATATAAATCCAAGAAAAATCTGTGAGATTGCAGCATTAACGGAATGTCACAACAAAGAGCCTTGCAGGTCAACCCCTCGCCATTGCCTACTTGGACCGTAAATGGGTGAACGGTTTGTAGTACAAGTCCCAAGTAAGTGGCCATTTTATGAGTAATAAAGTTATGGGTGCTACCTCCATCAATCAGTATTTGGACCTGTTTGCCATGTATTGTTCCTGTTAAACGGAAAGACCGAGGGGAATAATGACCAAAAAGAGCATTCAAACTAATCTCGGAAAAAGAATTAGGGGTAGAGTCTGCATCTGGCGGAATAATTGGAGTGTCCTCCTCCATTGGTTGGGCATTATCATCGTCAGTGCCTTCAAAATATAACAAGGTGGCTTTTCCTTTACATTTGTGTCCGAACACATACCTTTCATCACAGCCAAAACAAAGTCCTTTGTCACGTTTGTTTTGAATTTCCTCCGCGGTTAGGCGTTTAATTGGTACGGAAGGAGATGGAGTAGTATTTTTGTTGGAGGAAAACATGTTTGAGTTGTTATTGTTGGTAATAGATGGGCGTGGTAGCCATGGTCGTTGTTGTCGGGGACCACTGTGGGTGTCAGCTTGCTGGTCTTCATAAATCTTGGCTAATGAAAAAGCAGAATGGACATCCTGTGGTCGTTGCACAAGGACTGGTCGCCTGATGTGGGGTTTAAGGCCTGCAATAAATAGCGCCCTTTTAAGTGTTGGGGAGAGACCTGGAGTGCGGCTAGCAATGATCTCAAAATTTGCTTGAAAATCGATAACGGTGGTCTGTTGGCGAAGGTTAGCCAAAGAAACCGCGGGGTCCTCAAATTCTGATGGCCCAAAACGGCGTTGCATAGCCGTAAACAAGGCAGGCCAATTGGGAAGCAGTCCATCATTAAAAAGGCCATGAAACCAGGAAGATGCTGGTTTGTCCAAATTGAAAGAAGCTAATAAAACCCTCTCATTATCTGGAATGTGATAATAATCAAAATAGCGTGTGGCACTAAATATCCAGTCGGTGGGGTCTCCATCAGAGAAGCGTGGAAAGGTGATTTTCATTGGTTGTGGGTGATGCTGGCCAGAAGTGGCAGTATGGGTGCGGTGTGGACCGACGCCCAGAACACCAGAACCGTTGTTGCCCATGTGTAACTCCACAAGTCGGTTTAATTCTTGACGCAGCATATTGAATTGTTGAGTTTGGGATTCTTGCATCTTTGTTTGGGATTCCTGTAATTGTAAGTATTGTTGTTCGCCCACGACTTCAGCCGCTTGGAGTTGGTTCTCCAAGGTGTCAATGCGTTGATTCATGTCACGCATTCGTGTGTTTTCTGCCATGGGAGAATGAGATCGAATGAAAGCACCAATGAAGGGATTGGTATTGGGGGAAGGGAAGGATAGAAAAGAATAGAGAAGAGGAAAAGAAGATTGACCAAATTAATCTATGATTCTCATTGATCGTTTTCTTGAAATAAATAACCTAGCAATCCTAATTTGTAAAGGACTAAATAACTAACAATCCTAAATTACTGTTAACTGGGAATTTAAATAACTGAAAGATAAAAGCTATTATCTAGGAAACTAAATAACAGAAGGATAAAAGAATAATCTTCCTACTAATTGCAATAAAGTCTTATCCTAATAAAATAGAGCTTAATTAAATAAATAATCTTTGAAGTGGGCTGGAATTGTTGTTGCACGTTTGGGCCTGTATGCTTCATGAAATGGCAAGAGGTGCACGTGAACCTTCCATTCAACCGGTGTGGTGTAGGGAGCTCTTAATGGCTAGAGATCCACCGCGCATTACATGCAATCATCGTGAATACGAACAAGTGCCATCTGATACCATCAATTCGTGTGAGGACGACATCATTCATCGCTCTTTCTTCTTTGGACCCACCGAGATAGCTGCAATTCGTCGCTTCGTTCCACTTCCCCTTCGAAAATGCACCACATTTGATGTTATCACGGCATGCTTCTGGTGCTGCCGTACAAAAGCATTGCAGCTAAAGTCAGAGGAGGAGGTTCGGTTGATGTGCATGGCCAACGCACGTGCTAGGTTTAACCCTCCGTTACCTGATGGTTATTACGGCAACACTATTGCATACCCGGCAACGGTGACCACTGCAGGGAAGCTTAGCTTTGGGTATGCACTAGAATTAATAAAGAAAGTGAAAGCTGAGGTGACAGAAGAGTATATACATTCAGTGGCAGATCTAATGGTGACTAAGGGTCAATGCTTATTTACGACCGTAAGTTCATGTGTTGTGTCAGATCTGACACGTGCTCGGTTTAGAGAAATTGATTTTGGATGGGGCAAGGCAGTGTATGGTGGAGTGGCCAAAGGTGGGGCTGGGCCCTTTCCTGGAGTAACTTTTCTCGTTCTCCACAAGAACGCAAGAGGAGAAGATGGTATAATATTGCCAATTTGCTTGTCAGCAAAAGCCATGAAAAGCTTTGCTAAAGAGTTTGAGCACATGCTTGGGAACCAAGACCTAACTAGAAGGAGTGATCTTAAGATCATGTCTAGCTTATAGTTTTTTGGCAAACTGTAAGACATTGGAAAGTTTCCGTTTGTCATGAAAAAATATTATGTATAAATAAACTTAACTTCTCGTAAGTATTAAATGATGTTTAGTTTGTTTTTATTTTCATTTTTAAATAATTTATTTTATTATATTATTCATACAGCATGTTAAAGTTGAATTTTTAGGCGTGGCGGAACAGATCTGCTCAATATTTGATTCCAACTAGTAAGGTAAAGTTGAATAAGAAATTGATTCTATCTAAAAAAAAAATAAAAATTGTATGAGCAATTTCAATAATAGGGTTGATGTGAGCTGTCGAACTCATACAAATTAAAATAATCAAGTTTATTAAAAATTTGTAATAAAGTGCAAACTTGTGTTATATTTGTGTTGTGAAAAAAAAATCTTATTCTAACATATCCCTTAATGTAGTGAAATACAAAGTTATGTCATATTCTTTAAAAAAAAAATTCTTAAAGATATGATTTTATTTGAAAAAAATTAATTTGATTAAACTAAAAAATTTTGAATCATAAATTTGTGACGGCCTATGTAATTTGTAATGGGCGCCACATGATTAATAAATTATCAAAGCTCAGCTAACTCTTTCTTGATTAAACATGTTGATTTTTTATTATAAAGAAATAAAAAAGCATAAGAGAAAATAAATTGATTTTTTATTTTTCATGTTGTTTTTTTAAAAAAAAAATATTTTTTAATATTAAATTTTATACTAAACCAAAATTTAAAATTTTGTTTTTGAATTTTATGTTTTTAATTTTACTATTCTCATTATTATTATTTTTAATTACCTATCGACCCGTTTATTAAACCTAATTTTCTTGGATGACCCAATTTAAAGTGTAGGCCCAACTATGATACCTTGAGATTATCTAAATATTTTTAAATTTATCAAATATTTTATAAAAATTCAAAAAATAAGAAATGTTAAAATCAATTCACTTTAGCTAAAATGGGATAGTTTAGTCGTTATAGTTTGTTAAACTCACAGCTTTTGCTGAAGAGCAAAGATAACTGCAATTGTGACAGTTTGGTGAACCCCAATTTAAAAATAACTTTTTTTAGACTATAAGTAGTTAAAATTTGAGAATAAAAAAGTTTATATAAAATTTTAAAATAATTCATAGTTTCATTAGTTTTATAAAATTCAAAAAAAGTTAGATAACAATAAAACCTCATGTGTTGAGAAATAAAAAGTACAATAAAATTTTATTTCACTCTTGAAATTAAAACTCATTTCCTTATATAGACGAAAAGTCTTACTCAGTTGATTTTTTTTTTTAAAAAAATGTTGCATTTGGTAAGATAAAAACGGGATTTTTTAAAGTGATCGGGCCAATATTTTTTGGTGGTCCCCTTTTCTTTTTTTGGAAAAATGCTTCCGTGACCCTCCGATTCTCTCACTTCTTTAAAAATTTCCTACCACTCCCCTTGTCCTTTATTAATTTGTCCTTTATTAATTTGGAAGAGGACCACGTACACGGACCACTAAAACAAACCTCCATAAGAACAGCCACATCGATATTGGCGTTCATGTGGTTTTGGTTAACAACCCTTGCCTGTTGTATATATAGCAAAATTCATATATCACTTTTTTTTTATAATTAAGGATATTCTAATTATTAAAAAAATTTACTACTAATTTATTACCCATCACATCATCATTAGATCAAAGAGAGAGAATATTAAAAAAAATTTGAAAAGAAAGAAAATATTAATCTAACGATGATTAGATAGGTAATAAGTTGATAGTGAAAAATTTTGACAGTGACAATATTTTTTTTTATATACAAAGAAGCAATTATTATAGACAGAAAAGATGTGGTGAGCATTGCACCCTAACTGCTAAAACTTTGGCAGCATTAATCTCCATCAAATAATAAATCAATTTTGATTTTCAAATGCTCCATTTATAAATACTAGCATCCCTTCCTCTCCACGCATTCATTCAAAGAACACACAACACACAGCACACTTATTAAGTCTCTATCGTTCTTCATTTCTTCATCAGCTATCCCCACTTTCTCATACCATGGTTTTGGTTTCATCACTTACCCCTCTCATGTTTACAGTGAGGAGGCGCCAACCGGAGCTGGTGACTCCTGCTATTCCTACTCCACATGAAGTTAAACTACTATCCGACATAGATGATCAAGCCGGCCTCCGTTTCCTAATTCCATTCATACACATATATAGCTACGAACCATCAATGGAAGGGAAAGACCCTGTTGATGTCATTAGAAAGGCACTAGCACAAACACTTGTGTTCTACTATCCATTTGCGGGCAGGCTTAAAGAGGGGCCTGGTCGCAAATTAATGGTGGATTGTACTGGAGAGGGAGTCTTGTTCGTTGAGGCTGATGCTGACGTGACACTTGATCAATTTGGTGAAGCTCCTCAACCTCCATTCCCATGCTTCCACCAACTCTTTTATGATGTTCAAGACTCAGAAGAAATCATTAACTATCCCCTTCTAGTCATACAGGTATAATTAATACACATATATAATTGACAATTCACTTATCTTATCAAATTCTTCTTTCTAAAAAACGAAGTCTTACAAAAACCACGTGAACCTTTTGAAGACTTAAATAACACTACAATAGGCTAAAGGATGTTCTCTTGACGTTGAATTTTGAATGACAGGTCACGCGCCTTAAGTGCGGTGGTTTCATCGTGGCCACGCGCATCAACCACACCATGAGCGACGGAGCTGGTATAAGACAATTCATGAACTGCATGGTTGAAATGGCAAGGGGTGCACGCAAACCTTCCATTCAACCGGTGTGGTGTAGGGAGCTCTTAATGGCTAGAGATCCACCTCGCGTTACATGCAACCATCGCGAATTCGAGCACGTGGCACCTGATACCATCAATTCATACGAGGACGATATCGTTCATCGATCTTTCTTCTTTGGACCCACCGAGATAGCTGCCATTCGTCGCTTTGTTCCACTTCACCTTCCTTACTGCACCAAATTCGAAGTTATCACGGCATGCTTCTGGTGCTGCCGTACAAAAGCATTGCAGCTAGAGCCAGAGGAGGAGGTTCGGTTTATGTGCATCATCAACGCACGTGCTAGGTTTAACCCTCCGTTACCTGAAGGTTATTACGGCAACGCTTTTGCATACCCTGCGGCGGTCACAACTTCTAGGAAACTTAGCTTTGGTTATGCACTAGAATTAATTAAGAAAGTGAAAGCTGAGGTGACAGAGGAGTATATGCATTCAGTGGCAGATCTAATGGTGAATAAGGATCGATGCTTATTTACGATCGTTAGATCGTGTATTGTGTCAGATCTGACACGTTTTGGGTTAAGAGAAGTGGATTTTGGATGGGGCAAGGCAGTGTATGGTGGAGTGGCCAAAGGTGGGGCTGGGCTCTTTCCTGGAGCAAGTTATCTTATCCCCGGTGAGAATGCAAAAGGAGAAGAGGGTATCATATTACCAATTTGCTTGCCTGCCAAAGCTATGAAGAGATTTGCCAAAGAATTGTATAACATGCTTAGGAACTAAAACCAATATATGTTAATATTTATTTAATATGTAGTCTGCGTATATCACGAAATATGTATTGTAAGTTATTTAAATAATTAACTTTTTTTAAGTGTTCTGTATGAATTAAGTTATTCGGATTAGTGACATTTTATTTGGTGTGTACTTTGTAATTAATGTCATTTACCTATGCATGGTCTTATTTATAATTTTATGATGGGTAAAAATAGAAATAAGAAAAGTTCCAAAATTATCACTCTTAATAAAAAGAAGTATATATAAACTCAAGATTCATTATTACTCTTTGATGAAGGAGTTCAAATTTATTTTAGAAAGGATATGGCCCTTGACTTATATATATGGTTTTCTTTTCCTGGCTTCCCATAATAAAAAAATAGTCTTATTATCAAACACTACGTAGCACTGATACCGACACGGAACACATGACACGACACAATACGATACTCCGACACGTTAATTCTAAAAAATATTAGATTTTGACACGTTAGGACACGTTTTGATATTAAATAATATTTTTAATTTATGTAATGTATATTATATTTAATATTCAATAATTTAACAAAAAAAATGAAACTAAACTTATGATATTCATCAATTTTGCAAAGAAACATAAGATATCCCAAATACTTATATTAAACTCAATAAAATAGTAATCATAAGCCAACGAATCTAATAGTTGGAACTAAAAACTCAACACAATACAACCTTTTGAAAAAAAAAATTTAATTTTTATAATGCGTGTTAGAGTGTCGGGAGATGTCGGAGTGTCGGAGAGTGTCTGAAAAGTGTCAGACACGACACGTCAGGATTTTTGAAGTATCAATGCTTTATAGATCAAACACATGGATCAATTTATATAAATTATTTTAATTTAATTAGTGTGTTTGAGTTTGAGTTCTGGCTACACATTTATATCACATAGAATTTTGTCTCTCTCGTAGTCATGTCCGGATTAGAAAGATTAATAATAACAAATTAACACACAAGTTTTTTTTCATCAATTTTTTTATGAATTCAGATAGGTTTCGGCGGGTCTATTCTTTATATTGATGATTTAACACAAGATTTTCTGTATGCGATGATTTTCATTAAGTATATCTCCTTAAATCTCTCACACAATCTACGTGTCTAGCTTATTGTGAAACTCTTAACACGTTGGAAGGCTGAAGAAAATTTTAGTTGATCATGAAAACGTAATATATATAATTAAATTCTACTTCTCATTAGTATTAAATTATGTTTTGCTTTTTTAATTTTGTTTAATTTGATATGTTTATAAAGTCGTTACATGATATGTCAGAAATTTGTTTTTAGTTTTAAAATATGAAACTAATGATATTAGCTCAGTTGTGCAGTGAAGTTGAGTGGGTCGGGAAGAACCGTGGTTCAATTTCCACCAATGTTATTTTGGGGAGAGGTATGATTCTTTAATTCTCGACTTACCCTCCACTCGGGTTAGTTTCGTAACTGACTCAAAGAGTCAAAGCTTTAAAAAAAATGGAAAATTCTTTAAACGATATTTTTCGTTGTCGTTAAGAAAAACTTAGGGTTTTAACTTTTTACCTTACTCAGAAGTGAAATTTGTAATTCCATTGTCTCATTCTCGCCGCTCCAAGCTTGTTGCCACTGCTGCGTGCCTGTTGCCGTTGCTTCCCTGCTTCGCTGGTTGATTTATTGTTGCTGGGTATTGCTAGTTTCCTACCATTACAGGTGTGCTCCCACTATAGCTTTTATTATTTTCAAACCTAGATACTTTTCTGGCTGCAGTATAGAAATTTGATTGGATGTTTTATTGTGTCTGAGCCTTTGAGGAATTATTTACTGTATATAGCTCATGCTATAGAAACTTAAACCTAAATAGATGAGTATCATGAAATTATTCATAAAAAGAGAAATGGAAAAAAGACGTAAACTAAATTTTAGGTACTTTAGTTAGAATATTCCATGTTTTAGGTGTTGTCAAGATTGCTATTCAACATGAGTTTGTTATCCAGTACTGAAAGTGTGGTCAAGATTAATTTAATTTTTTTTAAAAAAATAATGAAGAAAGAAAGTAGAAAGGAACAGTAGCAAAGGGGAGTAGTGTATTTAACATAGAGGAGGGATTTTCTTATTACCGAAAATTTTTACTATCAACTCACTACCTATCTAATTATCATTGGATTAACATTTTCTCTTTTTCAAAAACTTTTTAGCATTCTCTCTCTTTGATTCAATGGTGATTATATAGGTAGTAAATTAATAGTAAAAAAATTTAGTAATAAGAATATCCCTCTATAATATCTATTGCTGTTTACACATCCTAGCTTTTGAGGGGCCTAGTTTTTGACAATTGGCATTCTTCCATTACTGTCCACACATTCTAAATATAATTTTAATCCAGAAATATCTTTTATTAGTTTTGATTATCAAAAACATTTATATGCGTGATTTGTAATAGACATAGATTTTTGTTGGAGAATGGAATTGCTTTTCTTTTATTGAAAACATATGGTGTGTGGTTCTTGTTTTTGATAGGGTATTTGGAAGTAATATTATTTTTTATATGTACTTGAGTATGTCTTTGAAATTTTAAATATAATTTATATATATTTATTCGAATTAACCGGTTCAGTCACAGTGTCAATAACCAAATAACCAATATTCCAACCTAATCGATAACCGGACCAAATTTAAAGAATTGATTCTAGAGAAATTATCTTTTAGAAAAAAGTGTGTATCATTTTAAAAGATATAAAATTATGTCATTTTAAATGAGAGAAAGAGATAGATAAAGAAGGAGAGAAAATAGACAAAAAAATATAAAAGTGTGTATTTCATCTCTTTGTGAAAATGAAATAATATAAATTGTATCATTTAAAAAGACAAATATTTTTTCGTATCTTTTATAGCAGAGGCCCTCGGTCCCTCACCTACTCTAATCAAATTTTGAGCTTCTAGATAACGCTAGTAAGCGGAACAGTGACTATTTTGTCACGCTTGGCAAAAAATTTTACCAAGCTGTCACGTCAACAGTAAATTTTGCAAAAATGTGACGCGGCATATTTCGCTACAATGTATAGCGAAATATGTTTGCAAGTAATTCGCTACACTGTGTAGCGAAATATGTCATGTCAGGCTGCACAGTCAGCAAAAATGACACGTGTCAAGCAGGCAGAATTCAAGCATAATTCGCTACACAGTGTAGCGAATTTCTACCTGCTTGACACGTGTCCTTTTTTGCTGACTGTGCATCCTGACATGGCATATTTTGCTACACTGTGTAGCGAATTATTTGCAAACATATTTCGCTACACAGTGTAACGAAATATGCCGGTGGCATTTTGACAAAATTTATTGTTGACGTGACAGTCTGGTAATTTTTTTTGCCAAGTGTGACAAAATGATCACTCTTCCCTAGTAAGCAATCTCCACCACATGATACATGTCTTTATCACAGTGTGGGAGAGCTAACCAGAGCAAATAGAGCCAGCTAAGCCCATTCATGGTTAGGAGAATATTATGATCAATAATACACCCTAAAAATAAAAAATAAAAAAAAGTGGAATTCAGATTAAGAAGGACAGAATAAATAACGTCTAAGTATTTTATTTTATTTTTCAATTTTAATAAATGATGTACTAGCTAGAGTCTCTCTATTACAACGAAGATATTTTTCTTTGTGAGTTAGCATTCAACCTAGATGGCCTACATTTCAGAATCCATTCGTACAATTATTTGATAACAAGCCATCAATGTGAATGAAGACCTGTTGAAGCCAATGATGCACAAGACAAGATTCGATATACGTTATTAGGTTTTGTCTAATAATAAGAAATTTGCATAATTTATATCAGATTATGTAAAATAACATGAGATGAGAAATATTAAAATACAAAGTAACAGAAGTCAGGCCGTCAGGGGTCACATGTCAGCAATACAATGAGTGAGGCAAGTTTATGTGACATCAATTAAGTAAACCAAAAAGTCCTTTACATACGTCACATGACAATACATGTGGTGCATTATTCATCGGGAAATTCTTAAATATTCGCTGACCATTACTTTTGAATATTAAGATTTGGGGCAAATTATATTTTTTTTTTAAATTTTTGTTTATAATTTCTTACAAATTATATTTATAATATTAAGATATTATTGAGTAGAGTATTATCAGACAAATATAATGTAATTTATAAATTTGTAAAAAAATAAAAATTTGTCTTTATAACCCTACTCTTAATATTTAGTTTAAATTTTATTAAAAGTTGAAACAAAAGATCTATTCATTATGCAAACTGGTTCATCAATTTAGTATACTTTAAAAATATAAAAATAACAAAAATATTATTTGAAAACAATTATACTTATTACTGAAAAAAAATTATTATTCTTATTACTAAATAAATAATCGTTAATTTTCGTCAATCTAAAAGTTATAATTTATTATAAATTAATAATTAAATAATAAATGTGACCTAATAAAATATAACTGTTAGATTAGCGAAAATTAATGATAATTAATTTAGTAGTAAGAATAATAAATTTTTTCAATAATAAACATAACATCTCCCGTATTATTTATATATAACTTTATATATATATATATATATATATATATATATATATAACATAATTATATATATATATATAATTATGTTATATATATAATAAAAGTTGTATATAAATATTTTTTATAAATGAGGTATAATACTAAACTTTTTTATAATAAATTTTTTATTTTTTATTTTTTATTTATATTTATATTTATAATTAATAATAAAAATCTTGACAACAACTAAAATAATTTTTATAATTATTTATATTATAATTATATTATCTTTAATTTTATATTTTTATTTTATTTATTTTATTTTTAATAAAGATATAGATATTTTCGATGTAGCAAAGATTTGCTCTAACAAACTAGTGGCTACAATTAAGCCTCAATCATATCATCTCAGGTACCCGGACACGTTATTTTTAAAAAAAAATGTGTGTCGGACACGTGTCTGACAAGTTCCGACACGTATCCGACATGTTCTGACACGTGATCAATATTTTGGAACACGTGATTAAATTTTCGACACGCTTCGACATGTTTTTCCGACGACAATCAACTTTTTTCGACACGTTTTTTTTTAGTTTTAATTTTATTTTATTAACTAA